CATATTTGCCTTAATGGTAGTTGCAACCAGCTAAATTCATTAGCATATCTAACATATACCCAGTTCTTACCCCATGTGGGGAGGGGGGCAGGGTGTAGGCACTGAAAACAGATGTGTAGTATCCATATATACAGAAAGTTGTATTAGACAAAGTAGTACCAAAAAGCATGGTTAAAACACAGGCTTGAGAACCTAGAGATCTGAAATTCTTCTCTTCAGTTTTTTCGTATGAAAAATGGGGGTAATATCTCAAGAAGGCAATATGAAGCTTAATTAATTACTTTTTAATAAAGAACTGGACATGGCTAGTATGTATGCAGTTCAAACAGAAGTAAGAGAGGGAAATTCCCAATAGTACAGCAGGAGTGAGAAGTACTCCTCCTGTTTGCTGACTGGTATCACAGGTGCAAGCCATTGCACACATTTCTTATAGCAAATTCCATTATTCTGCTTCAGTGAATTAGGGAGCCTGGGCTTCTCTGAACCAGGCTCAGTTTTGACAAGAGAGTTCTATTTGCATTTGTATATTTACATGTAGTTCTTTGAATGCTCTTATATTTTATCAGAAAATCTTGATCCCTTTAAAAGCAGAAAACTCAGAGTGTCCTTCCTCTTCAAAAAGGCCTTAAAATAGCTCCTCCTACAAGGGGCAAGGTCCTACCAATGTAGACAGCTTAGAATCCCTAGAGTTTGTACAGAGCTGCAGCACAGCAGTACTTACTATGCTTGTTCTCTAAGCTATAGGGAAGAATGTTAAGAGATATGGAGATCTCACTAGAAAGGAAAAAGAAGGAGGAAAAGAATTGGTCGTTAAGTAAAAAAAAACACAAGAGAAAAAGTAAGTATGTGTGTCCCCAGTTGGCTATTAGCTTCTTCTCTGAAGTTTCTTATTTTCTCATTCTTTTTGCTACAATAGGATCAATTAGAATGGATCATGCCCATACTTATACAAAAGAAGCAAGCAAAATTTACAGTAAGCAGCAGTATTAGTACTTACTACAGAGCCAAAGTGATTCTCCAGAACTAATAGATTTCCCCTAGAAGTGGTGCAAGCACCTACTCTGGATACCTTGAAGAAATGCTTGGATGCTTATCTTGCTGGGGTGATCTGACCCCAGCTGACTTCCTGCCCTTTGGGTGGGGGCTGGACCCGATGATTTCACGAGGTCCCTTCCAGCCCTAATGTCTATAAAACTAATGGCACAGAGACTTCCCTCAGTTCAGATAGGATGCAGAATTTCAGAGCTCTAGGCCTTCCTGCAGCCACTCTGTTCCTTGAATCCTTCTCTTTCCTACTCCCAGAACTCTGATGATCTACAACATTTTAAAAATCTGCTGCTGTTATTGTGAAGGGCTGGCTACATCTGCATTGGCACCAGTTCAAATTAACTGGTACAAACACCTGAGTAGACACTTTTTTTTTTTTTTTTAATGTTTGTTTTTGTCACAACCCAAAGGGTGTGATTTTTGTTTGTGTGTGCTTCGGCACTGCTAAATTGTTCCCGCTAAATTATAGCTTCTTTGCACGGTGGAGTTTTCTGCTGCAAAAGAGAACCCCGGTGCAAGGGAGAATTTCCCACCAATTTGAAGCTTTCTTTGCAGGGTGCATTTCTTTGTTGCAGCACAGAAATGCTCGTTGCAAAGAGTTCCCGCCATTTGTATGCTAATTTGAGTCCCATTATTGGCCAGTTCTAAATTATTCACACGTGGTGGCTAGTGATTGGCTTGCTAGCCGTATAAAAGGCTTGAGTGGTTTCCACCCAAGTTGGAGGACTCCACGAACACTGGGAGGTGGCTTCATGCTGTGTGAAGATCTCTAAGCGCTGCGGATCTTTACGGACCCAGTGCATTTCAAGCAGGCAACGGAGGTCTGATCAA